CACTGAAACGCCGTTGATGGTGGCGGTGCGGACGGGCTTGGGTTCCTCGTCCACACAGCCGCTCTCTGTGATGCATGCGCGGCGATGTGTGTATGTATGTAAGCATGCGGCCGATTTATAGGTACAAGCAGCTTTTGGGGAGCCAGGAGCCAGGTAGAGCAGGGGAAGGAGAGACAGCTTGCTTGCTTATCATGGCTAGACAGATAGAGGAGTAATGAAGCAATACTTAAGCAACAATCGATGATATATGAGGGAATCTTCATATTAACAAATTAAGTATTATAATAAATGCTTGCTTAATAAATAATATTGTGAACAAATATAATTAGTATTTACATGATGTAATTTAACGTAATATAATCAAATATGCTTTAATGTATTGCATTATAGTATCAAGCAATTATTGGGTGAATAAAGAGCGACGTATGTGAAATTGAGGAGTGTCTATCGACCACTTCAGGCTTATCTATCATACCATAGCACCATCTATGGACCATTCTATACCATGGAACTATATAAAATATATTTTCCGGTCCTCTCTCTCTCTCTGTGTGTGTGTGTATGTGTGTGTGTGTAGTAGCTGGTACACAGTACGGCTCACAGTACAAATACGCGCGATGCGCGACCACCAGCATCTCGAGAGGCCTTTTCAGTGGCCAGCTGCTACAGTGTGTGTGCGTGTGCGTGTGCGTGTGCGTGTGCGTGTGCGTGTGCGTGTGCGTGTGCGTGTGCGTGTGCGTGTGCGTGTGCGTGTGCGTGTGCGTGTGCGTGTGCGTGTGCGTGTGCGTGTGCGTGTGCGTGTGCGTGTGCGTGTGCGTGTGCGTGTGCGTGTGCGTGTGCGTGTGCGTGTGCGTGTGCGTGTGCGTGTGCGTGTGCGTGTGCGTGTGCGTGTGCGTGTGTGTTACATGGTCGTGGGGTTGCGTACCCCGTACCTGCAAACGCGCGCAGTAGCATCATATCATCATCCTCATGCTCGGTCCTGTCTACTACACGATGACCCTGTCTATAGAACATACTAATAAATGTTACCGACGGAGGCAGGAGCAGCGTAGTTATTCCCAGTCATATGTATACCACCGCACTATCCTGGGGTTCCCATGCATACCCCATGCAGGAGGATGAGCAGAAAGATGAGCAGCTCCCCATGCAGCATCCCCGTGGTCTCACTCGTGTGCTGCCTTTCCTGACCCACTTCGCTCGCTTTGCTGCTTACCGATGATCATCTCCATCCTGTTAATGGTCATTCCCGCACACGGGCTGGCGCTGTTCACTGTTGCGGTGGCGGCAACTCGGAAGCAGTACGTGGCACTGGAAGCCGTTGTATTCCACGGCCCGCTGGGTACGGACATTCGGTACGGCGTCACGCTGACGTCACGGGCATTGCAGGAGGTAAAAAAAGGGAAACTTTGCACAAGTTGGTTGTTGTTGCCCACGGGGGGTGGTGGGGGTGAGAGGTTGGGGGCCTTGGGCACCTTGGGCACCTTGGGTGGTTTGGGGGCTTTGGGCGGGACAGGCGCTTTGGGCGGTTTGGGCGCTTTGGGTGAACTGGGTGATCTGGGCGCCTTCGGAGGCTTGGCGGCCGGCGGAGGTGGAGATGGCGACTTGGGAGTGAGATGAGGTGGGGGGGGGATGGAGGCGGAGGACGTTGGCTGGGTGGCGGTGGAGATTTAGGCAGCAGAGGGTTTGGCGGAGGCGGCAATGGCATTGGAGGTGGTGGTGACTGGGATACTTGGGGCGAGGAATTGGGTGGTGGGGGAGAGAGCACGGCTGGTGGTGGGGGAGAGAGCACGGCTGGTGGTGGAGGAGAGAGCACGGCTGGTGGTGGGGGAGAGAGCACGGCTGGTGGTGGAGGAGAGAGCACGGCTGGTGGTGGGGGAGAGAGCACGGCTGGTGGTGGAGGAGAGAGCACGGCTGGTGGTGGGGGAGAGA